CCAAGTCCCAGAGGACACAGGGTGCAATTTTACAGTTTGAACTGCCCTGTTTCCTGAAAGCGGCCCCAGATTGGTCTTCAAAGTAGGTTTGTTTGACAACCCATGAAAACATTCATAGAGTTCTTCTTTCCGCAAGCATAAAAATGGAGATCGCTGGTTTCCAGGGGGTGTAAGTTTCACAAAATACACTTTTAAAAAGGTGAGAGGCAAATTTACAAAAATGTATTCATGTTTTGAACGTTTTAACTTCATAGATTAACTTTTATTTCATTCAAACGTTCAAATAAGCCTCCCTCCTGCAATAAATAGGCAGTTCCCATTTTAGATGAAAAAGACCAGTGCAGAGTGCCCTTGTGTGGCTGAGGGCCCCCAGTCAAGGTCTTGGGTCCAGTGAAGCCCCTGGCAGCCAAGGCCACAGCCATGGGAAAGTCGCCTCTCCAATAAGACTTCCACTGTTGTTATCTGCCAGGTCCAGGAAGCCGGAGAACTTACTTCAAAAGGTGAAGGCTGTGGAGAGAGGCATCCTGCCTGGAAGTAGCGAAAAGCTCCTGCTCAGACAGCTGCAGGAAAAGTGTGTCTGGATCTTTGACTGGAAGCAGATGCCAAGGAAGTCTCTGCCCTCCTGCAAAAGGAGGAGCCTCAGGTGGTCCTCCAGGCTCTTCCCTGCCTCCCCCACCCTAACTCCCTTTTTCACCCCCTAGGTCCAGCTTCTCATGATGATGGCCAGGTAAAAGTCCTTCTCCATATAGTTCAAAAACACAACCACCTTGGCACAGGGGGTGGGGGCAGGCTGCCATAGAGCCCTGCACCCCCACTTGCCGGCGTTCCAGATGGTGAAGCTCACCCAGTGCTGGAGCAGCCTTTTTTTACAGAAAGTGGCTTCTAGATGGTGGCCTTGAGGGCCAAAGTTGTGGAGGCTGGTGTGCTTGGGAAGCTCCTCTCACTGACCTCCTGACAGGGCAAGGTACTGCAGGTTCTCTGGTGCTCTGCGAGCAGGGGAGGAAAGCATTCACGGTGGCTGACTTTTCCACTCGCTCCTGTTGTGAATTTTTCAGTTCTATTATTGAATCTAAAGACAAGCCACTTCAGTATCAAGAGAGCTCGGAACCCTTAGGTGATCTTGGAAAGAATATGTACGATATAGTTCCCTGCCCGCTACTGTAGGCTGCCCAAGCACTTTGCATATGGTTTTATTCCTTTCCACATCTCATCCTGAGGTGGCCGAAGAAAGGAGACACTGAAACAAGTAATAGAGTTTCTCACTTTCACACTATGGACTAGCATTAAAGAAAAGGGAAGGGAGCCGGTTTTGTTTTGTTTTTTTTTTAGAATTTCTCTAGGTTAGAAGAAGCAGGTGAAGAAATCCTTGAAACCTAGATATGAGGGAATCAAAATGTAGGAGAGAATTTGAGATGGAATTCGTCATACTTTTAATTAAACATACCATATAAATCAAAAGTGTGAATAGAACTGCCAAAGAATGTGTAGTCTTGGAAAAAGAAGCTACTTGTTTCACTCTGTTGCCTTACAAGAGTCAAAAAAAAAAAAAAGCTGGTTCAGCAAATTTGCTAAAAAGTTCAATGTTCTTTGTTGAAACATTCTTTTTTTCTAGAACTGCCCCAACAGTAGCTTTTATGCATAAAACATTTTGCTTTCTTCAACATCTTAGGCATATTTAAACCAGAGGAGTAGAAAGAATTCATTTTGGAACTATGGTTCCATCCCCTCTGTCATGAGCCTTTTCCATGCCACATACACTAGGGCTACAGTTGTCTCTGCAGGGTAATCACGGACCTTCTGGTTGCAGAAAGAGAACAGAGACCTTGTGCATTTGCTGGAGGATGTCATCTGTCACTATCCCCCAGGCTGTAAAGAGGTTGCAGAATCACAATAAGACCTAAGGCAAATATTCCATGACATCATAGACCAGCAACTGAAAGGATCTGACTGTTGCTTCCTAAAGGCTTGTCTTACTGGTTTATTTTTATATACTGAAATTATTTATTTATTTATATGCATACCTTACATCATTGTTCATTTTTGTACAATGTTTGCTTTCTCCAATCAGGAGCAGTCCCCATAGAATTCCTACCACCAATTCACCCGTTCACCATCACCATAGTCCCTTGTGCTCTTCCCGTCCCTGTTGGTTTATTTTTTTTAAAGATTTATTTTATTTATTTATGCATACAAGGGCTGGGGTGTAGGCCAGAGGTATGGGGGGTGAGAGGATTCACCAGAGTGGGGAGCAGAACAGGCAGATCTACTGAAATACACTGCTGAGGGGAGCAGCGGGCGAGACGGAGAGTTCTGCCGCGCCATGTGGCTCAGCTCCCTGGCCTGGGATAGAACTTGTGCTGCAGTGGCTGCAGATTAATTCATAGTGCTTAAGACTTAACCCCTTGCACCACTAGGGAGGCCCTTTCCTCCCCTGGTTTGATCCCTCTCCCTCGCCCTCCCCTGCAGAATGTCTCTGATTCATAGTTGTCTGTTAATTTTAGTTTTTTTAAATTTATTGTTATTATTTTTTTCCCTAATCCCTTACTTGGTTCCCCTACATTGTCTAACGTTTTTAAATCTGCCTTATTGAATGGAGTTCATATTTTCCTCTGCTACCACTCCTCCTACTCTACTAGGATCTCCAATCCTTTCCTTACCAATATTCATGCACTTTATCAACTCAATTATTCAATAGCACATTTCTGAAACTATAAAGGGGAACATCTCATACTTTATTATATCCTGCAAATGTGCCACTCTACCCAAAAGAAGGAAAAGGTCCAGTCTCAAAAAGAGAAGTTTGGAGCCTTAAAGACAACAATCCTTTAATCAACTAATATGAATTTTTTTAATTTTTAATATCTTTAGATTGAATAAAAATAGTTCAAATAATAACACATGTATCAATTAAAAATTAAAGTGTTCTCTCTTCTCTCCATCCTGCTGCAAGAAAGCTGTTAAGAGTCTGGAGAAGAGTGTTGCATACTTCCTTCAGTGGTTGTCAGGATACATATGCCTTGTCCAAATTTCTCTATATTTTATTTATTATTTATTTTTTTATTTTTTAAGATTTATTTTATTTATTTATGCATACAAGAGCTGGGGTACAGGCCAGAGATGCGGGGGTGGGGGTGGTGAGAGGATTTACCAGAGCCAGAGTGGGGAGCAGAACAGGCAGATTGACTGAAATACACTGCTGAGGGGAGCAGCTGGGGAGTCAGGAGAGGTCTGCTGCTCCATGTGGCTCAGCTCCCTGGCTGTGTGCTGCCGTGGCTGTGGATAGTTTCATAGTGCTGCACCTTAACAACTTGAGCCACCAGGGAGGCCTAAATTTCTCAATATTTCAAAAGAATAAATGAGTCCATAATGTTCTGAAACTTGTTTTTTGCTTCATGTAGTGAGCATTTTTTTATTACTTTATTCACTTAGTACTACATTATGAACACTTCCTCCGCCATTAAACATTTCTTAAAGCATGATTTTAATGGTTACATAGTAGGTTTTTGTATGGCTCTATCATTAATTTAACCGTTCAAATGTTGAATTTTTCAGTTGCTTCAAATTTCTAAGTTAAATATATAATGGGATTTATATCGATAAATACTGATTTTGATTACGTTTGTTTTCTTAAGATAACTTTCTAGGACTGGAATTATGATGTCAAAGAGAAAAAAAAATTTTCAACACTTTAAAAAACATAATTAATCTGGAATTTTTTTTCAAATTAGCTCTCCAGCAACAATACTAGAAACAGCATTTCAAAATACAGAATTTATTTTAGTCATTGACAATAGGAGAGTGATATTTTATTGTTGCTTTAATGTTTAGTTTTCAAATACTTGCTTCAGTGTTCTGTCTCCTCTTTCATTTTAATCTCTTCTTCACACATTATTAAAAATAAGCATTTTCAAACACATTATAATCACATATTTTTAAAAATGAAGTCTCTGAGTCATGTTACATCTTCTAGATATTATAGACCCAACCCAAAAGATTGTGTCCTCTGCCCTCAGGAGGAAGAATTCATCAGAGACCAGTAAGTATAGTGGAACCAGAGGAGATTTTCTTAGAGGTACGTGGAATAGAGAGGAACCAGTGCTAGAAAGGAGAATTAGCCTGGTTTTGTGAAGGGAGTTAGAAGATATTCATTCATTCATTCATCTATTTTAAATTGAGGTGATTATGTTTAACAATGTTGTTTATGTTTTGGAAGTATAGCATCTCCCCTTTCCAGTTGTCATCACATTGTACCACCAAAACACCCATAGTCCACTGCTATAGTCCATTGTGCTCCCTCTCCACTTGTTGTCTCCCTCCCCTTTCTCTGATATCTTCCATTCCACAGTCAGATTTGTAGGGTTGTTGCTAGTTTGGCTTTATCTGACCCTTTGTTTGGTTTCTCTTTATTCCACAAATAACTGACACCATCCAGTATTTGTCTTTCTCTTTGTGATTTATTTATTTTTTAATAATAAATTTTATTTTATATTCCCCATACAATTGCAACACCCCCATTCTGACCCCAATCCCTCCCCTCCCGCCCCCCACCCCCAAAGAGTGTCTCTGGTTCACAGTTTTTTGTTGATTTCGATTTTCACTTTCTTATAGTTATTCATTTTCCTGGTCCCTTATTTAAGTTTTCTAGATTCCTGCTATGAGTGAGACCATCCGGTATTTTTCTTTTTCTTTCTGGCTTATTTCGCTGAGCATGATCCCTTCCAGCGCCATCCATGTTGCTGCAAATTGCATGTGTTTATCTTTTTTGAATGCTGAGTAATATTCCATGGTATATATGTACCATTTCTCTTTGTGATTTATATTGGTTAGCAGAATCGCCTCCAGCTCCATCCACGTTGCCACAAATGGCAAGGGTTTATCTTTTGATGGCTGAGTAGTATTCCATTGTGTATATATACTACATCTTCCTAATCCACTCATCTGTATTTGTACACTTAGATTGTTTCCGTAGTTTGGCTATTGTTAATAGTGTTACAATGGCCTTTCCAGCGGTGACGACCTCCCCACGAGAACATGCCTCTCACAAAGGATCTCCTTCATCCCTCTCCAGAAGAGGAGAAGAGGAAACACAAGAAGAAGCGCCTGGTGCAGAGCCCCAATTCCTATTTCATGGATGTGAAATGCCCAGGATGCTATAAAATCACCACCGTCTTTAGCCATGCACAAACGGTAGTATTGTGTGTTGGCTGCTCCACTGTCCTCTGCCAGCCTACAGGAGGAAAAGTAAGGATTACAGAAGGATGCTCCTTCAGACGGAAGCAGCACTAAAAGCACCCTGAATCAAGATGAATGAGAAACCATCCTAATAAACAAGTTTTGGATACATCCTGTTTATTGTCTTGTTTTACTGCTAGGAAGTTCCTACCTCAAGTGTTCAGGTGCAGCCAGAAGGAGTGGACTACTAGAGTCATTTGATGAGGGCAATTTGTGAAATAAAATGAAGGCAGTTTCCAAGTCAAAAGTCTACGGTGCTGAATATAAAGACTCCTTACCTAGAAAGATGAAAGCTGTTGATGCCAACATTGCAAAGAGGGTAAAGAGGAAGACCTGGTAAGAACCCATGAACTTCTGGAAAACACCTGAATCTTCACACTGATCTATGCATTGGCCAGAACATAACAAGATGATTGCTTAGTAACACATCCAGGGCAGATGCTACATCCTATCACCGAAGTAATAAATTATCTCCAGTTCTTGAGCCTCAAAAAAAAAAAAAATAGTGTTACAATGAACATAGGAGTGCATGTTTCATTTTGAACAGTTTTTTGTTTTCTTTGGGAAGATACATAAGAGTGGAATTGCTGGGTCATATGGCAGATCTTAAAGGGTAAGTCCATGAGACAGGGAGGAGGAGAGCAGTGTCATAGCTTGTTTGGATTGGGTTATGCCTGGACGTGAGCAGATGGGTTACATTCCAACTGCCCATGCAGGCTCTAGGCCTTCTCCCTGCAGGAAATTGTGAGCTAATGATTAGTCAGAATCCATTGCCTTTTGTCTAGCATGACACCTCATGGTCAGTGTGGTGGCCAATTGTTTGGACAGGGCTCACCAGTCAATGATTCAGTTCACCTGTTCAAACAGGTCTTGGGGCAACTCATCCTGCCAGTTTGAAATTTCTTTTACCTAGGCTGTCTCGTAGACCCACTGCTATTAAAATTTTATAATGAGCTCACAGTTTCCATGAATGAGCCCATGGTTTCCATGAATGTTTGACAAGTGAATATCTGATTATCCTGTTCCTAGGTGAATACGGGCTTTGTTTTAATGTTCCTTAATTTTCAAATACACATTTACCTCCTCTGAATATGTCACTGGAATATTTCTCCAAATTAATGATAATTTCATAACATCTGTAATACTATGATTTATAAGAAACATATATGTTTGGTCTTTCAGGATCATTCAGATGACCAAGTACATATATTACATATATATAATGGTCTTCCTCCAAGATTCCTGGCTCAGAGCTCCCAAATATCCTTGGAATTTCCTGTGTTGAGGAAGATAAGTGTCTTTTGTTATGTTAATAAGATAGCTTTTGGAAAGCACCTAAGGAATGGTTGCCAGGGGAAGTCAATCATGTGATTATAGTAGGATGGAACTTTCAGAGCAACCCCCAACCCCCTACTCCCCACCCCTCAGGGGAGACTTGAAGGGCTGGAGAATGAATAAATCCTCATGTGTCAGTGATTTGATCATCATACCTATGTAATGAAGCCTCCTTAAAAACTCAAAAGAAGTAGGTTTGGAGATTTTCCCAGTTGGTGAACATTTAGAAATGCTGGGAGAGAGGAGCTCTTGGAGATGGCATGGAAGCTTCACACCTTCTCCCCATACCCATACCCTTCCCTATACACCTCTTCATCTGACTGCTGATCCCATCTTTTAATATCCTTTGTAATAAATTGGCAATATAGAAAGTTAACCAATTTTTCCTGATTTTTGTGAGCTGCTTTAGCAAATAAATTGAATCCTAGGAAAGGGAGTGATGAGAACGTCTGATTTACAGGCAGTCTGTCAGAAGTAGTTGTGATTAGCATTTGAAGTAGAGGCAGTCTTAAAGGACTGAGCCCTTTGTGAATTCTGATGTTATCTCTAAGTAGGTAGTGTCAAGTTGAGCTCTAGATACCCTATTGATATTGTTATAGGGCAGCCCCGATATAAAATGGGTTGCCTGGATGTGGGTCCTCACCTGCACGCTTAAAGGGGACTTATTAATACTCCACTACAGGCACACACAAAAGGTTAATAAAAGGTTTATTTACAAGGGAAGGGGAGATGGGGAAATGTACAACTCAGGGAGAAAATAGGGAAATAAAGACTTTAATGCATCCTACCTGTTCCGCCGATGGGGAAACCCAATGGCACTCTGCGAGCTGGCCACGAGCCAAGAGCTGTGAAGCCAAAAAGCCCCCCCAAGACCCACATGTCTGGTTTTATACCAAACCTGGCTGCTTAACTCCACCCTCAGGTTCCAGCAACCTTCCCTTTGGTGGTGATGGGATTTGTCTTTCCCAATGTCTTGATTTGCTTTGGTCTGGAGTGGGGGTGGTGTCCACAAAGCCTGTATGGGATTAGCTTAGGACATCCTTTTCCCTCTAACAATACGAGGAAACCTACACCACACACACACACACACACACACACACACACACACAAACACACACTCTCTCTCTTTCTCTCCCTCTCTCTCTTACAACAGGGTCCAGGACCCTGAAAGAACAATACATGATACACCTCCTATGAGTCAAGTACTAGCCTAAGTACTTGCATGTATATAATTCATTCAAGCTTCATAACATGCTCATGAGGCAGGTATTATTATTATGATGCCCATCTTAGAGATAGGGAAACTGAAACACAGAGAGGAAAAGTGATGAGGCTCAGGTTTCACAGTTTATGAGTGGTGAACCTAATTCAGGAATTCAGGCAGTCAGGTTCTAGAGTCCTTGATAACAATTCACTTTCTGTCCTATCAATAAGTGTGACTATTTTATTTTATTCTACCTTTTATTTTTATTGTTTACTGATGCAGCATTGGTTTATAACACTGTATATGGCTTAGGGCTACAAGTTCACACATCTACGGTTGTATGTTATCAACCACACCTGTCACAAAAACCCCAACAATCATCTATCCTAGTCCACTGGACCCTTTCCACCCTTTGCTTCCATCCTCCAACTTCTCTCTGGCAGCCTTAGTTTTGCGGTCAGATTTCACTGATTTCTTTTTATCTGTTTCAGTCTTTTGTTTCTTTATATTCTATATATGACTGAAGCCACCCTGTATTTGTCTCTCTCCTCCTGACTTATTTCATCTAGCACAACCTCCTCCAAGTCCACCTATGATGTCACAAATGGCAAGATTTTATCTTTCCTTTCTTATAGGTGACTAATATTCCATCATGTATAGATACCACATCTTCTTTATCCATCCATCTGTCCTTGGGTACTGTGGTTGTTCCTATAGCTTGACTATTTTAAAGAGTGCTAAAATGTTTGCAGCAACATGGATGGCACTGGAAGGGATCATGCTCAGCGAAATAAGCCAAAAAGAAAAAGAAAAATACCGGATGGTCTCACTCATAGCAGGAGTCTAGAAAACTTAAATAAGGGACCAGGAAAATGAATATAAGAAAGTGAAAATCAAAATCAACAAAAAACTATGAACCAGAGACACTTTTTGGGGGGTGGGGGCGGGAGGGAAGGATTGGGGTCAGAATGGGGCGTTTGCAATTGTATGGGGGAATATAAAAATAAAATTTAATATTTAAAAAAAAAAAAATAAATAAAGAGTGCTAAAATGAACACGGGAGGGCATATATCCCTTTGAATTAGTGCTTTTGTGCTCTTCCAGTAGGTACCTAAGACAGGGATTGCTGGATCATGTGGTAGATCTACTTTTAATATCTTGAGACTACCATATTGATATCCATAGGGGCTTGGTTTGCTACAGTCCCACCAGCAGTACACAAGGTTCTTCCTCTCCACACTCTCGTGGACACTTACTGCTTCTGGACTTTTTGATTTGGTCACTTCCCACAGGGGTGAGGTGATATTTCATAGTGGTTTTGATTTGCATTTCTCTGATGATAAGTGATGAGCATTTTTTTTTCATGTGTCTGTTGGCCCTCTCTATGTCTTCTTTGGAGGAGTTCCTACTTATATTTTCTGCTCATTTTTTTATTGTGTTATCTGTTTTCTTACTGTAGTTCAGTTTCTGAGCTACATTCTTCCCAAAACAACATGTCTGATCATTTTGCTGGTTCTGTCTGAAAATTATTTATTTTGCTGTGGCCCAATCAATTGCTCTGTAACTAGTATCAAAGATAATTAGAAAAGCATAAATCATTCTGAAAATGATTGATACTGCAGGTACACTGCAAACATCAATGAGACAGCTAGCTCAGGAGAGCTGCTTGTACCATAGAGCAGCAGAACTGTAAGGAGGGAGCAGAAGTTGGGAGGAGCAGGAAGGAGGGCTGAGAAAGCGGTTCTATGATGAGAAAGACAAATTGAAGCTCTCAAAAGAACTTTTCTTCATGAAAGGGCACCATGACCCTGCTTCATTGTAGGGCTTTTAAGGATTTGGCTTTTATAAGGTCACACTGATTTTTATGAAGTAACCATATCGTGGTTCTTTCTGTACTCCAAATGAAAGTTTATTATGTACTTGAGCGAACTGCACAGAAAAGCTATTTACTGCTTCCAAGGAATAAGGTGACTAGATAATATTTCAGATTGCAACTAATCTTTGCTCTGTATGTTCTCCCTTTTCCCTTCCCTCCATCTAGATCTGTACAGCCAGAGAGCTGACTCTGTTCTGGTTGCATTGAGGGGAAGAAATAAGGCACCTCAGCAAAAAAACAAGAGTAGTTTGTAAATTTGGTTACTCAAAACGTCTAAGCTGATAGAGTTAGAAATTCCACAGGCATAGAGGAACTTCAAAATACAGAAAGGGAAAATATTTTCCCCACACCAGAAATGGATTCTTCCAACCTGATAGTCTAGACCCCAAATGTAACAGACACTTAAAGAAAAGCAAGAACCTTTTACTTCCTTTCATACAGTTCTAGCAGGAAGCATCAAGACCTTAGCAAGAAGCGGCTGTGAAGTGAACCTTGGCAGACCGGACTGTATGAAGAGTTGGCAGATTCCTGTGCCCTGAGAGCAGTGGGAAAACAGCTAAACACCAAAAGAATGCAATGGACATCTCAGCAGTCATTTATACAGACTTCTAGTTAATAACTGTGTGTGTGTGTGTGTACACTAATCACTGTTAGTCGCTCCAACTCCCTCCAATGCCTTTGCAACAGAAAATCCCAGAATGATGTTGACAACCTTGAGAAGACACCAAGAAGACCTGGGGATATATTTTTCTGATCAAATTCCCCATCATTGAACCCCACCATTGGGACTAAATGTCTGAAATATAGATTTTTTTAAAAAGATTTATTTTATTTATTTATGCATATAAGAACTGGGGTGTAGGCCAGAGGTGTGGGCTGGGGGTGGTGGAGAAAG